AATATACACTCAAATCAGTTTTGTTCTTCTATAGAATACTGACTAATGCAGGGTGCTTGAAGTCTGTAAATATCACCCACTTCTTCCCTATGTGTTTGGGATTTTCAGTGATGGCCCCATCAGGACGTCACATTAAACTCAAAGGTCCCAGTTAAGAAAATAGTGCAGTGGGTAAGAGAACTTGCTGTGCCCGCATGAGGACATGAGTTCAAACCTCCAGCACACATGTAAAAAGTCAAGTGTGGCTGTATGTGTATGTCTGTAAGCCCAGTACTGTCGGGGACAGAGAAAGGAGGGTCACTAGAGCTGGTGAGTCATCAGCCTAGCTCCAGATTCACAGAGAGACCCTGTCTCAGGGGAATAAGGCAGAGACTGACAAAAGACACCCAGCTTCCCCCTCTGATCTCTGTGTGTGCACAGGTGTCATACCTGAACACCCGTGCGTGCACACATGCATGTGTGCGAGACACACACACACACACACACACACACACACACACACATGAGTGATGGAGAACAGGGGAACGCCGTGTGCATCAGTACACACAATGTCAATTTCTGGCCTGGCCTGGCCCCATTGTCATACAGGGTCCTGCAAGCCAGCCCCAGGATCAAAGGCCCTGCAGCCAGAAGAGACAGACTAGCAAATGGGACAGGAACACTCACATTTATTGAGCACTGAATGTAGTAGATGTTTTTTCTGAGCGCTTCATTGTACACACTGAGGGAGGTGTAAATGGGGAAACCGAGGCCTGGGAATCCAAGTGACTTTTAATAAATGTATTCAGTTAGTAGATGGCGGGCTGAGGTTTGAGTCTAGGCAGTGGGGCTTTGGGGGTCTTACCCATCATCCCCTCTGCTTTCTGCCTACATAACGCAGAGCCTAAGACACTGGGAGAAGTACCTGCAGCCCTCTGAGAGTCGAGCCACTCGAACTGCATAAACAAATCTGCTTAAACGCATAGCCTTGCAAACAGGTGTATTTCCTTTAAATTTTTTTTTTTCCAGACAGGCTCTCATATGTGAGACCTATGAGTCCAGGCTAGCCTTATGGGTCTCACATGTGAGACCTGTGGCCCAGGCTGGCCTTGAACTCACTCAGTGGCTGAGGATAACCTTAAATTTACTTTCATAATCTCCAGCCTCCACATTCTGAGTACTGGGATAACAGGGGTGTGCCACACACCCACTGTACCCAGGGTTTCACACGGGCATGTACTGCCAACCCTGTTTCCTTTAGGCACAATGTCTAGAGATGAGAATGGCTGGGGTGGAGGTGGCCCTGCTCATCTTTCCCGTGTGTGACTCTCTAGGGGCTACATAGGCCACACTCTCAACAAGGACGTGTGAGGGGGGTTGTCCTCACACCGTTTCATTTGTTCAGGTGGTCACGAGCTCTCATGGTTCCAGATCTGATGGATGTGACCTGGCATGTTACTGCTGCCTAAATCTCACGTTATGGTGCTTCTGTGATATGCGAAACAAATGTTCCAGGACATTTTGAAGAGTAAATGCCAAAGATTTAGAAGTGAGCTGACAGTCCCATCTGGAACGATGTCCTCTGTGAGTGCAGAGGAGGGTGCCTGCCAGGTAGAGACACATGGAGAGCAGGTGGTGGACTTGCAGGGGAGTGTACTGCAGGCTGACGGTTCTCAGTGAGGTATTAGGAGGTGGGATCCACAGGTGGATTCTTTCTTTGGTGGTAGACCATGACCAGGTGAAGTCACTTATGGGCTAAGGCATCAGTTATTACCCAGATCCTGACTGGTGGGTCTGTTGTCACTGTCATCTTGTGTAGTTATTTAGTTTGATTTTAGTGTGTGTGTGTGTGTGTGTGTGTGTGTGTGTGTGTGTGTGCGTGTGCGTGTGCGCATGCGCATGCGTGTACTTGTGAGCATGTGCTCGTGGAGGCCAGAGGTCAGCCTGGTGTCATTCTGCAGGATGCTGCCCACCTGGTGTTTTGAGACAGGGTCTCTCGGTGGCTCGGCGCTCACTGAGTAGGCTAGGCTGGCTGGGCAGTGAGCCGTGCCATCCTCCTGTCTCTTTCTGCAGTACAAGGATTACAAGCGTGTGCCACCAAGCTTGGCTTTTTTACATGAGTTTTGGGGGATACAGAACTGAACTACCTTGCAGGATCTATAAAAGTCCTCCTCACTCTTTCTTGTATGACACCCCACCCCCATGTGTGACCTGTGCAGAGTCTTCATCAGCAAGACCCTCCCTAATAGCCCCCACCCCCAGAGACTGTATAAACCCCTTTCCCTTAAACACCTGCCTTTAACACTGCACCGAATATGCCATCATTTCCAGTGGGACACAGGAAGCTGTAGTAGACCCAGTCTTCCTGCCCACATGGGGCACTAGGCTGGTTTTAAAATCACATTGCTTACTTCTCAGGGTCTAACATTTTACTAATTATAGAAGCACTGTGAATCTAGGGAGAGTGAACCTTCATTCTCTGTAAACTGTACAGCCTGTGGCATTCAATCACAGCAGCAGAAAACAGAGAGGAGGAGGCCTTCTATGACTCTTACAGGAGGACCCCAGGTAAGACCCTGGCCCTGTGTTTGCATGGGAGGCCCTGGTTAGCAGTGCAATGCTGCAGCATCCATCTGCAGTCCCAGAACAATGACGTATGCAGAGATTGGACCAGGGAGTTAGCAGTGCCTGGGGCTGGAGCAGGGGTCGGTAGGATTGGCAATGGGAGTGGGAGGCTTGGGGTAGGGTGGGGCTCAAGGAACCTACTTCTTCATAGAAAACAGTCTGGAGACCTCTAGGACTCCAGGTGACGGACCAGAATTCTATTATTCTGCATCTACCAAAATGTTGCCTATTTTACTGTGGCCTTCTGGGGACAACTCCTAGTTAATCATGTACCCAGTTCTGTTGGCTTCATAATGACCTGCTGCCTGCTGCCATGCTGAGGCTAGGCTCCTGCTAAAGCATGGCTTGTCTCTGCACTGGCCACCTGCTCTTAGGCCATTTCCCTACCCCTGGGCCCAGCCCATGGTGCTGGCTCCAGATAAGGCTTGCTATCTTTTTCATTCAGAACTCATTCCAACAGGGGCTTCAAGCACCTGAAACCTCACAGCCACCAGGTTCAGAAGCTCTGGGATCACAGAAATACTTGTGTCTGGTAGCTTCAGGGATCTTGCAATGGCAGGTCAAGGAGCAAACAGGCCATGGCCTCCTTGAGTAGATGACACAGCATAGCATCACTCAGGCCCATCCTAAGGAGGTAAGTGCTCCACAAAACATGCCTTTTGGGCCTCCTTCCCTGGGCTGCTGGTGGTCTCTCTCTCTCTCTCTCTCTCTCTCTCTCTCTCTCTCTCTCTGTCTATGTCTGTGTGTTTGTGTGCATGCGTGCATGTAAGTGGATGTGTGTGTAGGTGCCTGCAAAACAACCTTAGGTGTGATTCCTCAGGTACTGTCCACTTTGTTTTTTGAGACAAGTGCTATTCACCATTTGAGACAGGATCTCTCACTGGCCCAGGACTTCACCATTTAGTGAGGCTGCCTGGCTAGTGAGCTCATTGGACCCACCTGTCTCCACCTCCACAGTGCTGGGATTACATGCATGTGCTACCATCTGAATTCTTTTTAACATGGGTTTAGGGGATCCAACCTGGGCTTGTAGGCTTGCCTAGCGAATGTTACTGATGGAAACATCTCCCCAGTCTTCAATCTCCTTAAATTTTTTTTGTTGTTTTTTGAGATTTATTTTTGTTTTATGTATGTGGATGGCTTGCCTACATGTATGACTGTGTACCCTCTGTGTGCCTGGTGCCCATGGATACCAGAAGAGGGTGTTAGAGCCCCTGGAACTGGAGTTATAGACAGTTGTTAGCTGTCATGTGGGTGCTGGGAACCAACCCCAAGTCCTCTGAGAGAGCAGCCAGTGCTCTTAACTGCTGAGCCAGCTCTCCAGCCCCTAAACCTCTTTTTAACAAAAGTGAAATACTTTCTTCAAGCCAAGTCTTAGACTGGCAAGATCAAAAGCAGGGAATGGCAGTGGCTTTTTGCCACCTGCTCATCATTTCAGATAAATCATTTCCCTGGAAGGTGCCTACTATCTCAGAGCATCCTGTGAGTGGGGACCAGGTGGATGTCACTGGTGACTTGGGTCTGCAGTCGTACTCTGTGCTGTATTCTGGGACCCTTCCCCTGAAATGCGTCGTATTTTTCCTTGCACCACATTCTCCAGCACACAGCAGAGCACTTGCCCATGGTCCCCACCGGGCCCAGCTCTGGATCTGTCTGCACCCTCAGGCAGAAGCCACCAGATGTCCCTTCCCTGCTCCCAGGGCCGTGTAAGTCGCTCCCCCTCCAGACTCACTGTGAAGCAGCATTTCACCCACCCAACCTCCATCCAGAAGGAGTGGCTCGCAGGACAGTTAGAGACTTGGGATCGTGTTGGTCAAAGGGAGACCTGAGAAGGGTGGGCCGTACTCAGTCCTGTCTCCCACTAGGCAATAGTAACAAACATGGGGTCTTTAATACGATTTAGTAAGAGGATAAATAAGTAAAGGTATTGATGGTGTTTTAAAACACAATTTGCTAGTTTTCCATCCATCTTTTCAGAGCTGCGTCTCTGAATGTGAGGCTGAGAACCTGAGGTTCACATGTCATCCCAGGGGGCTCTACCGTGGGTCAGCGCAAGCCTCGTGGTGGGAGACAGGTGCCCTCAGGAGCCTGGTCGGCACTGACTGAAAAACCAGCCTGCCATTTCCCAAACAACCACCGGCACAGCCTGTAGTGGAAGGAGGTTGATTACGAATGGGCTTGCCATGGGCCATAAACAAATGGAGGGAATTCTGGGTTAATAAAATGTAAATTTCATTCCTTGAGAAAGCCTCAGTTCCCTGCTCAGGAACAAAAGAAGTCTGTGATGCTCTGTGTCCAGGAGATGCTGCTATTGGCATGATTTGTGTCCACCCGCCCCACTGTCTGATAGAAACAGGAGCAAGCAAATCTCTCTCTTCCACCGCAGTGTTCCTTACCCAGAATCACACCATTGGGCTCCTCCGGGGGCTGCCACACGATCCGCACCGCAGTTAGCCTCACTTCAGGGAACACCAGCCGCACGGGGGGACCTGGGGCTAAAGGAAAGCACAGTGAGGCAGGTGTCGTATAGGGTTCTGTGGCCAGCCTCATGCTCTAATGATGAACGTGGGTCTCCTCGGAGGGGGCCCCACGCTTTCATTTTTTAATTTCTGTCTCAGAAATTGATTTACCCTTTTAAAACTGTTCATTTATTTATGTGTCTGTGTCTGTGATATGCTGCATGCGTGCAGCCATCTGTCTGTGGAGGCCAGAAGAAGGCGTCAGATCTTCTGGAGCTGGAGTTACAGGCAGTTAAGAGCTGCCCAATACAGGTACTGGGAATTGAACACCGGGAGAAGAGCAAACATTCTACACTGCTGAGTCAGCTCTCCAGCCCCTTAGATAGTATTTTGTATCTGGCTTTTTATGTGGTTTTAGGGATTTGAACTCAGGTCCTCATGCTTATTCAGCAGGCACTTTGCAGACTCTGTCATCTTCCCAGGCCATGTTTTCAGTGAAGGACTTCGGGACCCTCAATGGCTCCATGCGACTCCCTAATGATTCTGAAAAACACACCTTATTTTGCATCCTGACCATCTGGCTTAGAAAACCATGCTGAGAAACTATGCCTCCATGACTTGAGAGGACAGCTCATGGCAACGCTAGCCTGAGGGTCACCTATGGCTTCGCTGGGTTTGACATTTGTAGAGCAGGTGACTGGCAACTAGGATGGATCATATTGACTGTCAACTGGGCAGGATCTACAATCACCTGGGAGACACACCTCTGGCCATGTCTGTGGGGTTTCCAGATTGGGTTAACTGAGGGGAGAAGACCCATTCTGAATACGGGTGACCCCATCCCACGGGCTGGGGTCTTGTACTGAATAAAAAGGAGAAAGCAAGCTGACCATCAGCATCCATCTCTCTCTGCTTCCTGACTGTGGATGCAAATTGGCCAGCTGCCTCATGTTCCTGCCACCAAACTTCACTACCATGATGGTCCACATACCCTTGAGCAGAGTAAACCTTCTTCCCTAAAGCTTTTTTTGTTAGGTATTTGGTTATAGCCACAACAGAGGTAACCATTACAAGGTAATTTATCCCTTAGTTTCCCCTCAACCACTGAGGAAGCACACTGACAACCAAGGCTTTCTAGCCAATGTCTGCCTCACCTCGCCGGCCCTGTCTTAGAAACTTAAGAGCTGATGTTCACAGATGCGTATAATAATTCTTCTGTGTGGTTCAGTGCACCGATAATTTAAAATGCAGTGATGTCTTGTGGAACGATTGAATAATAGGGTCTCAGCCCTCATAAAACATATTTGCTTAAATGGATAGGCAAGTTAGTATGTGGCCAGTGTGAGAGTGTCTCATCAGACTTAATCATGGATTGATTCCCACGCAATGGCCAGGAGCAATTGATGCAGAAACAGAAAGCGGGGAATGTCCATTCTGGGTGGGTGAATCTGGACATGTGTAATGATACCTATACATGGGTGAAGTAAATGCCCAAAGGAGGCCACAGGCTTGAACGCCAGGACTCATTTATAATACCAGGGTGACATAGCAATGACCTTCTGAGCTGTCCCCAAGGCACAACAGATTGTGTCAAAATGAAGAGAGAAGACATGTTTATATAAATAATACAGCAATAAAAGAAAAAATCATTGCCTGACTATATGTGTCCTTTAGAAAGAATGATGGCAGTGGACATTGAGGGACAGTTTTTAGATGTCTTTACTTTCTTTTCCTAGGATTAAGCTGAAGCATGCCCACATAGGTGACTAGTGCACCTTGCAGCTAATATGGCCAACTGTCTATTTCCCCTGTACTGCCCATCTCCCCTCACCCCTCACCCTGGAGACAGCTGAAGGACAATCCCACGGAAGCAGTGATGGTTGTGACTGTCAGTGTGACAGGATCTAGAATCACCTAAGAGACAGACTCTAGGCAAGTCCATGACAGATTTTCTAGATTCGGCTAACTGAGGTGGGATGACTCATCCTAAGTGTGACAGAAACCATCCCACGGGCTGGGTCCTGGACTGAATACAAAGGAGAAAGCGAGCTGAGCACCAGCATCCATGTCTCTGCTTCCTGACTGTGATTGCAATGTGACCAGCTGACTCATGCTCCTGCCGCCAGGCCTTCCTGCCATGATGGCCTGCACCCTCCAACTGTGCAAATAGCCCAAATCAACCCCCTTCCATAAAGCTACTTCTCAGACATCTGGTCACAGCAATGAGAAGTAATACAGAGCCCAGGCCAGATCCACACACTATGGAAGAGGGAGACAGGGCTCTTTTAATGGAGCAAGTGGAGTTGTGGCTCATTAGCCATTCCAAGGAGAAGCTTCAACAACCCTGTTGTTTTTTCCGTCCTGTCAGACACTTCCGATCCCGAGGTGGGTGTTTGAGCAGATCAGTATTTTCCCCCTGACATATTCATTATGGCCTGTTTAATAACAAATGTGTGAAGGAGCTAACCTTTAAGTGTTTGACATCTGCAAAGTGGAAAAACATATTTACTGATGATTTAGACTTCCATAAAAACAAAGCCAGCAAGATGTGCTTGTTACTCAAATCTGGAAGCACCAGAGCCTGGGGACCCCTGGGTGCTGTCAAATATGCTGCTCTCTGTGCAGGAACATGCAATTAGCAATCTGAAGGCAATGGTGAGACCCGCCATCCCCATGAGAATGGACACCCGGGTCCAGTGAGGAGTTTGATTTAGATCTGTAGAGCTGCTACTAAGTGGATGGGCTCATGTCTCATAATCTAGCCCACCCTCATGAGCCCTTGCCCACAGCATAGTTAGGATCGAGATGCTGCACAGTCCATAATCAGGCCGTAAAAACCCTCTCTGGGCTCAAATTGGCCACATAAACACCCAGTGACTGGAAAACAATTTAGTTTTGTTTCCCTCAACTAGAAAAAAAAAAGAAGAAGAAGAAGAAGAAGAAGTGGTTGAAAATTTACACTAAAAACAAGTGCAATCCAAATTGTTTGGATTGGAAAACTAAGGCAGAGGGAGCGGGGCCAGCCGTGTACTTACTGTCATCTTTGGTACGCTCCAGGACGAGGGGCGAGCTAGGGACCCCGTTCCCGATACGTGTGAACGCCAGCACCTGGAGCTCATACACCACAAACTTGCGCAGGCCAGCTAGCAGGGCAGACTGTGTATGGTTCCCTCGAACCACGTGGCTTCTGGGCTCTGGATCCAGGTCTTTGGCACGGTACAGAATCTGAAGCATCAACACACACATGCAGATGGTTACAGCTAAGTGCGTGCTTAGAAGGGGACTCCCTGTGCACACGGTACCAGCTCAGAACTAAGCGGCAGGGACCACCCAACTGTGGTTTCTCCACAAGGGCAGCTATTAAGGGAGTTTTGGATCTCATTTCTACCCACTGGCATCAAGGGGGAAGGCAGCCATGAGGCAACTATACTCCAGAAGAGTGGCTGGAATCACACAGCTCTGCCTACAGCTTGGTGATTTGGCTGCCTGGGCACAATTTGGCAAGATCTGAAGCTCTCGACTATAGCCATGCCAGGTGCTCCCACTGAAGCATGGGCTTGGTCTTGGGCACAAGCCTCTTGCTTCCTATAAATGGAGCTTGGGTCTCCATGAAATCCCTTGATTCCAAAAAATTGGGGTTGCTGCCCCAGAAGACTTGCTCTTTCTTCCTCAAGTGAACCCAAGGCTTGCCCCAGGTCACAGGGATGAACTGAGATGTGCTCCTCCAGGGCCTCCTCCTCCTCCTTCTCTCCTCAGTCCTCCCTCTAAGCTTATCTCTCTCTGAACTGTTCTCCAAGGTAAGTGATCCACAAGCTCTAAGAGAGAGGGTCACTGGGGAGACATTAGACACTAGCACAGGAAGCATTTCCCAAGGGAAGTAGGAGGTGCGGCATGGAGCTCTGTCCACTGAACCCACCCAACAGGGCTGCCACCATGGAGCAGGAGACTTGTCATGTCTCTGTCATAAACTCTGGATCACCATGTTCCCTGGGTGTGTCACACAGCACGGATCCTGAACGGAGCCATTAGAATACTTATGGAGAGGGAATGCATCTGAGCGCAGGTCAGAGGAAAGCAATTGGGATTTAATGACAGAAAGACAGCAGGGCATGGGAGGGAAGCATCTCATCCCAGCACTTTGCAAGACCAGACAGGAAGACTGCTATGAGTTCAAGGTCAGCTGATGCTGCATAATGAGTTCTAGGCCAGTCTGGGCTATCGTGGGAGAGCCTGTCTGATCATAAAAAGGTGTTCCCCACCCCCACACTCCGTCCCCAGAGCAGAAAAAAAGCCATACAAAACCAGTTACTGAAAGACAAGAGAGAAAATGCCTAAAATCCATTGAGGATATGTGGGAGGCATTTTCTTATTGTTGTACTAGGGATTGAATCCAGGGACTAATGAAGGCTAGACAAGCAACTGGTCATCAAGCCACACCCCAGCCCCTCACTGGGGGATTCTAGGCAGGTGCTCTACCACTGAGCCACACCCCAGCCCCTCACTGGGGGATTCTAGGCAGGTGCTCTACTGCTCCAGTCTAGCAGATTGTCCCATGAGAGCAGCATCACATTATCAACTAGATCCAGAGAAGTCCATTGTGTTGCTTGGGAGATTGGAGCTAGATACAGAGCCAGGGAATTGTATTGGGCATGTTTGAGAGAGGAGAAAGCAATAGGCGGTTTTGAAGATTCTTGGTAGAAGCTTAAGATGGATCGGGAGAAGCAAGGGTAAGTCCAACCCTAACAGAGGACAGCCCCACCTAGGGCCATCACAAATCAGCACTCAGAGAAGCAGGGACCATTTCCCAGAAGCCCCTAATTTCACATAGCAACTCTGGGAAGTGACCACTGTAGTCATTCTCATTTGACAGTAGGTGACAGAAGCTGCATCCATTCATGGTCCAAGGGCCCAGGGTGCCTCAGCCAGAACAGAACCAGGGCCTGGCTTGCTGGTCAGGGTCTCTCTTGTATTTGCTTCCTGACTGATGCCTGGAAAGCACTTCTCCCAGTCCATCTCTTCCAGACAAGACAGCTGATAAAGTCAGGAACTGGCCCAAGTGACAGATCTGTGACACCTTCCCACCAGCCCCGAAGGCAGAGCAGAGTCATCACAAACCCTTACCTTGTAGCCCAGGATGAGCCCATTCTGGTCCTGCTCAGGGACTGAAGCCCACGTCAGCAGGATCTGGGTGGAGCTCACAGCCTCAGCAGACACATTTTCAGGAGCTGCTGAAGGGACTGCAAAAGAACATGTCACATGATTGCATCAACAGTCTCCAGCCTTCTATGAACAGAAGGGCATTTACACACAGACAGACAGACACACAGACACACAGAGACATACACACACACAGAAGCACATAGACATACACACACTGGACACAGACACAGACACAGACACACACAGACACACAGACACACACACACAGACACACACACACAGACACACACACACACACACACACACACACACACACACACACACACATCCTGCTCAGGCTGTTCTTGAAACAGCAGTGGTTCTGAGCATTCTGTGTGGATCAGATAAGCCTGCAGGTGTACAGCACATATGTAAATCTCTTTAATATGAGCAACAAATTCCGTAAATCCTGGGTATTTAGAACTCAATTCTACCTGAGCCTGGTCAGCAAGAAAATGCTCTCCATCTGTTTTGGGTAATAACTTAAAGAGCTGCAGGCTTTTACTTTGAAGAGGAATTCCTCAATTTCAGATGGATACTAGCTCACTGAGACTGCTAAACATGAAGGTCCCTGAGGGTTGGGCAGAGGAGGTGGATGGGGGGTGATGGACAGAAGACCAGACCCCAGGGATGATGTTTGCTGTATGTGGGTGAGGGGCAGGTGGGGAGCCCTGCCTCATAATGTTCTGTCTCTGATTTCTAATTGAGTCTAATCCCTCCTGATCAGCAGAAGCAGGTGTTATCCACCCCTTTCTGCAGATAAACAGAGAACTAAGGTGGATCTGCTTGTTTGTCTTTTCTATGTTTTCAATGCAGGGGATGGAACTGGGGGGTCTTGTGCATGCTCAGCAAGTACTCTGCCATTGGGCTGCAGCCCTGGGCCTGGAAATCTAAGACTGAAGAAAGTTGTATTTCATTCTAGTTATTGTGGGGGGTGTGTCAACCTTGGTTTTTGTTCCTTAGTCATAATCCACTTTATTTTTTGAAACAAGGTCTGTCAGTGGCCGGGGGCTCACAGATTAGTCTAGGCTAGCTGGCCAGTAAGTCAATGAGCCCCGGCGATCCTCCTGTCTCCACCTTCCCAACTCTGAGATTACAAGCATTGCTCCAGCATTCAGTTTTTAACATGGGTGAGGGGCTCTAACTCAGGTCCCAACTCAAGTCACTTTATTGACTGAGCCACCATCCTGGCATTATTATTTATCTGTTTTTGAGATGAGACTTGCTAGTTATCAGTATCAATCTGGCCTGCAACTCACTATGTAGCCCAGGCTGGCCTCAAACATCCACACCCTTCCCATTCCATTTCATTTAAACTGTTTTGTTACATAATTGCCTAAAGGCAGTCCTTGTGGTTTTTGACCCTTGTGTACCTAACTCAGTTCTCCTAGTTTAGGCAATTTTGCCTCATTTAGTTTTCTTTGATGGCACTGACTGTCTTGAGGAGTGTTCCAGGAATCAGATACAATGTGAATATGAACAGCAGTGAACTTTAAAGACAAGTTTTTTTTTCTTTTTCTTTCTATCAGTGTGTCCGAAGATATCTATGGATGTAGCCCAACACATTTGTAGATGGCAATATATCCAATGTTAGACACTCTGGTAGATAAATCACCACCACTTCAAGAATTTGCTTATGGACCCATTTACATGTCAAAGCCTGCCTACAAAGGAAAGGACAGAGCAGGGAGAGTTCTCAAGTGGTCAGCTGACACAGTGCTTAAAAGATGCCTGAAGAGAGCAAAAGGCTCCCCTGGACTTGGGCCTAAAGGTTACACCTTGTCCCAAGGCTTCCATGCTGAAGGAGCAGACATTTCAAGGCCATCACATCTCGGATGTGTGACAAGGCTTGGGCATCTGTCTATGCAGTGCTGTGTGGGGTGAGCCACTCTGCCAACGAGGCCAAAAAGCTTCTCAAGCACACTGTAAACCCTCAAGGACAGTGCTCCAGGAAGATCACAGAGATGCAACCGTTGAAACAAGGGGGCAGCAGAGGCTGCCGGGAATCCAGAACGGAGCCTCCCATAGAGTGCAGTCCTATGGACACCCGGACCCAGGCTCAGGCTTCCGGAACTGTGAGGGAGCATGCTTGTCACTCAAGCTGCCATTTGAGATGTTTCTTTTGTTCATGTCTGTTTATGTGTGCACATGTGCATGAGTGTTTGTATTTGTACGTGTGTGTTTGTGTAAGATAGAATATCACTCCTCAGGGCAGTGTCCACCTTGGTTTTTGAGACAGGGTCTCTCACTTTTACCTGGGGCTTGCTGATTTAGCAGGCAGACTGGCCAGCGAGCCTAGGGATCCTCCTATCTCCATCTCTCTAGCGCTGGAATTACAGGCTAGCACCATGTCTGGCTTTTCTATCTGGGTTCTCGAGTTTGAACTCGGGTCCTCATCTCTCCACAGTAATTTCAGACAAATTACTATTACCCATAAGGGCCCTAGACAGTTGTGGAGCTGGATCCGGTCAATGTTAGAGCCAGCAGTGTCTATAAAGAGAAGGGGAAGCGAGGAAGGGAGGTCCCATCCAAGTCACAGCCTACCAGGGCAAGCTGCTGGGATGACACTGGGTGTGGGGTGGCATCCACTCTTGCCTCTTTCTCCACCCACAGGAAATCTTTCTGGAGGGGAAATCATGGCAGAAGTTTCTGGCTGTCCACCCTGAAGGAATGCTAGCTTCCTGTCCAGCACCACAGAGGCAGCATTGCACCTCTTCCCTCCTAGATTCATAAAGAACCCTCTCCTAACCACTCAGCCTCAGATCACTAGCCAGGACACCCCCAAATGTGTCCGTGATCATGCCCCCGAATAAGGAAGCTGTATGTGTGCATCCCTCACCCACGCTCTAAGGGGGCCCAATAAATTCACTTAGCTCCCCAAGCTGGACTTGGGTAGAACCATCACTTTGGTGTGTGGTTGGTGCACTGTCTGGGGTGAGCAGTGTTTGCTCTTGTTTCCCTAAAAGAAGTGTGTGCAACAGTTGTTGATGGCTTGACTCAGTTCTCAGAAGTGGAGGCCCTGTCTGTTTGGAAACCTGCAGCCACATCTCACTGTGCTCCACCTGCAGGGGCTCTCTGGGGACCTCAAATGCTGCTATGTATGGCTTTGTCTGGAAATTAAAATTAAATAAGCTTACACAGACGCTTATTTTAATTTAATCTTTAAAGCGCGATAAAACAGTACCTTGAATCACTAAGAACAAAGGAGTTGCTATTGGGACAAGCATGGAAGCATGCCGTTTATTAGACACCATTTTCTGACTTGATTTAAAATAAGATTGCAAATCTCAAACATGTTGTATGCCTGCTATGTTTGTGCTATGTTCTGAAAACTGTCCCTGTCTGTATATATAGAGAGGCCATCGTCATAGCAACCCAATTGGTCCACCTCTTGGACCCCTACCTGTTTCCTGTGAGGCCAATCTTGACAGCTCTAAGCGCCTACTTCTCACTACAGACCCCCTAACCACGGTTGATTTTCTGAGATGCGGTAATGCCAGCATTCACTCACAGGAGGCCCGGCTGCATCCCCAAAGAGCCAGGGCAACCTGGTGACTTAGCGTTGAGCTTTGAACCTTGTAGTTTCTCACGGGGAGAGCCTGCCGGGTAGGGTTGTTAAGAACAGGAAATGACATATTGCTAGACTGAAATTTCAGCTGATTCAAATTCCCCTGGGACCACGCCTACCTTTTTTTTTTTTTTTTAAAGATGCGAAGAAGAATTGTACCCATTATCTGTTCTGAGGTACATTCCACTTCTTCTCCAATTTATCTTAAATTTTGATATGTTCTTAGAAATTCCCCTGTCATCAAAAACAAAATAGCCCAGCATGCTTATTTTCTCTTTCTCCACCTGTTTTTCTCCCTGCTGTTCACCACTGCTCCTTGTGGTGACTTTTCAGGTCTCATTTATCTTTATAATATGTCACAGGATGTCACAGAACCCATTAGACCACACTTCAAACTATTATTAAACTTCATTTAAATGTGGTTCAGATTGTTTGGTTTTGTTTCTAACCCTTTGGGGCATTTCTGTGGATTATGAGATCATTTACTATTATTATTTTTAAATGTGTGTGTGTGTGCACACATGTGCACATACTTGTGGGTAGGACTTCACACGCCATAGCATGCACGTGGAGCTCAGAGGACAACCAGGAGCAGCAATCAGTTCCCTCTATTCTGTGGCTCCTAGGGACTGAACTCAGGTTATCAAGCTTGGTGGACAAGTGCCTTTTCTTGCTGGCCCTGGTGACATTTTTAAGTCTTGGGCAAGACTGTTTCGATTAACTGATGTGAGATTGTTTAGACAGAGGTCAGTGGCTTCGGTCTCCTCCCCAGTTCACTCCAGGGCACACTCCCCAACCTGCAGGGCAGCTCCTGGAATCAGCTCCTGTGACTCTGTGCCCAACAGGAATGATGAGCCATGCCTGTCAGGACGGGTCTCTCTATGGGGAGGGTAAGTGTTGGGTATTGGTAGAGCCACAGAAATAAGCGAATCAAACCTACAGAAAACAGGCACTGAGGCTGCAGCTGAGCTGGTAGCGCGGCTCACCTAGCATGGATGAAAGCCCCAGGTCTGACCTCTAGCACTGAAAAACTGGGTGTGGTGCTAATTCACCTGTAATCTCAGTACCAGGGAGAGAGCACAATTAGATTAGGAGTTCAAGGTTACCCTCTGCTACATAGAGAGTTCAAAGCTAAGTCTGGACTACGTGAGAATCTGTCTCAAAAAGGAGAAATTACTAAAATGAAGAGTCCAAATTGCTACAACTGGGGAAGGCATGCTGGCCTGAGGGAGGAGGCTCCCACTGCAGGGGGCTCTGAGAGCTCCATTCAGAAGGCGGGGTAGGGGTGCAGGTGAAGGAGCTGAGTCCTCAGTGCCATCAACACCACAATGCCATCCAGGGTGTGTTATAATTCACCTGGTACAGAATACAGAGCTGCCATCAAAGTGGAAGCCCACACCCGCTGCTGGTCACTCTCCACTCCTCTCAAACCTTCTTTAGGCCAACACAGCTGGGTCTATTCCCCGTGTCTATATTTTTGTTTGCACTGGGCATGTCCTGTGTGGAGGAACCATGTATGCTGTGGTACATTGCATCTGATTTCTTTCACTTAATTCTTTTTTTCAAGGTGCACCCACATAATTGCAAGCACAAGCATCCCACTCCTCTTATTGTTGATCCCTCCTTTGCATGGACACATAGAGCTTTTCCTTTATCCCTTCATCAATTGATGGACAAGTGGGTTCTTGCTACTTTTTGCTATGAACTCTTGTGGGCATGTTCTGGTAGACATAGGTGTTCAGTTTTCTTGGGTGTTGTGATGACTGATATCGGTTGTCAACTTGACAGGATCTAGAATTCTCCAGGAGACACTGGGGCACACTTGTAGAGGACTGTCTTGATTAGATTAGCCCGTATCCATGCCTGTGAGGATTAGCTAGCTTAGGTGGTGATTCTGGGTTTAAGATTTTGCGGCATGCCAACTGCTACCCAATGTATAAAGCTCTGACTCCTCCACACACTCGCAAACATGCTATGCTGTACTTTTTATTTTGACCTTCTTAGGGATATGAAGTGACATCTCCTTATGACTTGGATTTGCATTTCCTTCCTGGCTAATGATGCTGAGCCCCTTCCCATGTGCCTATTAGTCATTTGTCTCCATCTCTGGAGAACTGTCTGTTCAGACATTTGCTCCACTTTTAACAGGATCATTTGCCTTTTCATTGTGAAGTAAGAGGTCTTGGATATTCATATCCAAACCCCTTGTCAGACATAGCACTTGGAGATATTTTCTTCCCACTGAGGTTTTCTGCTTTTTCTATCTGATATTTCCGATATTCCTATTTAAAGTCCCGGTGCTTTAGTTTTGATAATGCCTGATTTGTCTACTTTTTTTTGTTGTTGTTCTTTGTGCTTTGGAGTTCTGCAATCAGACTTGTACATTAATTTCTCTCCCGGGAGCATCCAGACCACACATACAGTGTACATCAGAGCCCACAGGCATAGGCTGTGTGGTCATCTGGGTCCTATACAGCCTAGGCAGACACAGGTGGATCTCTGTGGCAGGTACTTTGGTCCCCTATAGCACAGCACTGTCTCCACACAGGACCATGGATTCCAGGTTGACCCTCCTGTCCCTGCCTGGGCATCAAGAGCCAGGTCCTAAAAAGATTAGTGAAGAGCTGAGGCGAAGATTTCAGTCAATAAAGTGCTTGTCTTACACTGAGGACCTGAGTTTGATTCTCAGTACTCATGTTTTGTTTTTAAAGCATGGGGCCTGGAGAGATGGTTCAGGAGTTAAGAGCACTGGCTGCTCTTCCAGAGGACGCAGGTTCAATTCCTAGCACCAACAGAGCAGTTTACAATGGCCTATAACTACAGTTCCATGGGGTCTGATGCCCTTTTCTGGACTTGGCAGGTACCAGGCACACAAGACATACATACAGGCAGGCAAAACACCTATACACATAAGGAAAAAAGCCAGGTGTGATGGTTCTCAATTGTAATCCCAGTTCTGGGGACACTGAGACAGAAAGATCCTCAGTGCTCACTGGCCAGCCAGTCTAGAGTAATTGGTGAATTCCGAGTAAACGCGAGACCTTGTCCCTAAGGAGGCTGACCTCTGGCCTCCACCATGTTCATGCATACACGTGTACCTGCACCTATGCACACAGACATGCACACACATGAACACACAAACTGCCAGGGAAGATTCACAGCGGCCATTCCAACACAGCTCTTGCTGCTATGGGCGATTTTGCTGTTTTTCCTTTCTGTCCATTGGTAAATTTAAAACTTCAAAAACTACTTTTTATCCAAGGCTTTCTAGTTTTCTATCCTAAGTTTTGTTTCTTCAAAGAAATATTTTCTTGGCCTGTCTATTGCTGGGTTTAAAACTACCCTTTAAAAATGTCTCCAGTTCCCTTCCTGTCACAAAGACTCAGCTGATGAAGATGAAAGGGTTTGAGTGCGTCCACGTGCTCACAGCCAAGTGGATCGGCCTCTTCTCTCGCTGGTATCATAAAAGCTACAGCTGGAAGAGGCCCTGGCTGGTCTCGGCAAAGCCCTCTCTAAATCCTAAATTCCTAACACTGGCTTAGACAGGCTTTGTCCAACTGTCTTAGTGGGTTTTTTGTTTGTTTGTTTGTTTGTTTGTTTGTTTTCCTAATGCTGTGATGAAAACAGGCTGACAGAAGCAACTGAAGGGAAGAAGATGTTACATTGTTTCACAGTTTGAGACCTGGCAACAGGAACAAGAAGTGGCTGGTCACATGGCATGACTTTTCAGGGACTCTTACTGGGGGTTGCTGGGTTCCCATACATGTGCTGTGCAATCAGGGTGTTCCTTGAGACTGAGATGTGGCTCTCCCAGGACCTGGGTCTCATCTCCATGCTCAGACTGAGCATGGCGGGTGCACACCTGTAATTCTAGCACTTGTGACTGATCCCATGGTATAGCAGAGCCTGGATCCTTGAATGAATAGCCACCAACAAACAGCAGCCCCACCTCAGATCCAAAAGAATTAGATATCAACTGCCCCTGTGATGAGCCTTTCAGGGGTCCACTTCCTATTGCAGCCAGACCCTTGCACATACTGTCGACCTTCATTCATGGAGAGCAGGGCCCGATGCCTGGTGTATTAAGGACGTCTCATAGGAAATTTCTGCTTTTTGCTTTTATCATTGGTAATGAACATTATCATTAACTTAAAAAGTCATAAAATAAGCCCAGCACCTGTTAAAATCCAAAGGAACGGCTGTGAGTAGGTGATGGTTAATATAGGTTGTCAACTTGACGGGTTCTAGAAGCAGCTAAGAGTCAAGGGCCTGGGCACACCTGTGAAGGATTATCTTGAGTCGGTTGGTCTCTGGCTGGCCATGTGCCATGTCTATGAGGGATTGGGTTAACTTGATTGGGTTAACTAAGATGGGAAGGACCACTTAGAAGGCAGCATCTTTCTCTGTTTGGGGTCCTGGACAGGATATAAAACAGAAAGAGAACTGAGCACCAGCATCCATCTCTTTCTGCTTCCTGACTGTGGATGCCATGTGACCAGCCACTTCTTGTTCCTGTTGCCAGGTCTCAAACTGTGAAACAATGTAACATCTTCTTCCCTTCAGTTGCTTCTGTCAGCCTGTTTTCATCACAGCATTAGGAAAGCAAACAAACAAAAAACCCACTAAGACAGTTGGACAAAGCCTGTCTAAGCCAGTGTTAGGAATACACCAACTCAGACACAGGTGAGACACAGAGACTCTATTACCCAGGGATGTGGAAATCCAGGGCCACCAAACTCCTCTCTACCGAGACAAGAGATGACCTTGTCTCTGTAGCTGCATTACCTCCCTCTCACCTGACTCCCGTGTGCGACCGCGCACCAGCTCACTCCAGGGTCCAGCCCCAATGGCGTTGAAGGCCTGCATCCGCAGTTCGTACTCTGTCCACTCCTCCAGCTCCTCGATGGTCAGCTCCCTCTCCAGCCGGTCATTGACAACTTGGGCCAGCGCTGAGGATGGTTGGTCTGAACGCCAGTACTTCACCCTGTAGCCCACAGACTCGGGATTCCCATTGTACTGGGAATCAGGCAGCGGCTGGCAATGAATGACAGGCTGGCATGAGTGGACACCTCCTAACTGTCACCTTTAAAGGTCTTCAAGAGCAAACCCATCCTATGGGGCCAACTCCATGGAAACCATTTTCTTAGGTGAATTTTCCTGGAACTTTCTAGAGTGTGTGCATGCACACACATGTGGGCCGTATGCATGTGTACATGTTCATATTAATGTTTTGTAGAGGCCAAAGGGTGATGTTGGGTGTCTTCCTTTACCACTATTCATTGTATTTTTTGAGGCAGTGTCTCTCACTGAACCTGGAGTTCACTGACTTGGTGAGACTACCTGGCCAGCAAACTCTAGGAAATCCTCCTGTCTCCATTCCTCAGTGTCAAGGTAACAGGTGGGCACCCTAATGTCTGGCTTTTTATGTGGGTGCTGGGGGGTCTGAACAGGTCCTCATGCTTCTGTAATAGGCACTTTACACACTGAGCCACATCCCCCTGGCCTCATCCCAGCAGCTTTCTGCTTTACCCTCCCTGAAAACTTTTCTTCTGTTAATTCAACAAAATTCTTTTAGTGACTTTTGCTGGAAATAATTTCCTTTAATATAAATTTGGTTTAATTTTGAGGGAGAAATGTTCTGATTAAACTCTGGACTGGTTCTCTTACGAATGTTGAGTATTGGTTCTATGTTGACCATGCTCTTTCCTGAAAGAGCACCATGAGGTCCAAAAAGAGAGAATGCTACCAATTAATAAGAATCCAGGGCTGCTCAGTGACCTTACACTAATCGTGCAATGTAATACTTCGTGGTCTAACAATCAGATTGGCTTTGATGAGGGAAACAACCTGAGTGTGGTATGGCTAAGCTCTGATTCCCGGGAAGGCCTGGAAGGCACAGGTAGTGGCTTCCACCCCATAGTCTCCAACTCACCACCCAACGTAGCCGCAGGCTGGTCTCACTGGCTGTTCGGACAGTGATGCTGGTCGGAGCCACATCAGGTGGGGCCTGCAGGGTCTGGATGACCCGGGATGACTGGCTGAAGGGGCTGGGACCCACGATGTTCACTTGCCTCATTCGAAACCTGAGGTGAAACCATGAATCAGTGTTATATCCAAGCAAAAGCCAATAGAATGGAACAAGGTCTCCTCGGGTGCTCCTCACACACATGTCTTCCTGGACCACAGAGGCCATCACTCATGGACACCTACCTCTGTGGGTGAAGAATGCAGATGCCATCTATGGTCTCTGTGATGGGTGATGTTAACCGTTAGTTTGACAGAATCTAGAATCATCTGGAAGACAGCCCCTTGGGCATACCTACAGGGCTTATCTTGAGTAGCTTCATTGAGGTGGGAAGACCTGCTCACTGTGGGTGGCACTGACCCTGCTTGGGATCCAGGACTATGTAAGTGGAGAAAGAGAAGAGCATGCATTCACTGCCTTCTGCTTCCTGCTGGTGGGCGCCATGTGACCAGCTGCCTCACTCTCCTGCTGGATTAGCTTTGCCACTACCATGGCCTGCACTTGAATTGTGAGTCAGAGCAAACCCTTCCTTCCTTAAGATGCTTTTCTCGGGGGAATCTTATGACAGCAATAGGAAAACAAGAAGCCATGTGACTCAGTACGATTTAGTTCCCAGGTGAAGGAGATTTGATGGAGCTGATGGGTGGAAATTTGAATGGTCAGTTGCCACTGGCTGACTCAAATTCAGGGTAACCTTAGGGGATGAAGATCATTCAAGAGAGCCCAATGTCACAATGCTGCCACCAAACACAGTTTTGAAAGTCCAATGTTTTGAATGGTTAAGGGCATTGCCATAGCCCATGCCTATCCTGGCATATAGCACAGTGGAAAGTTCATGTGAGGCCTCAATCAGAATTACCTCTACTTTCTTATAAAGTACGGGCCATGAGTATGCTAAGCAAAAGGGCTATACCTCTGAGCCACACCCAAGCTCCTCACTGGGGGATTCTAGGCAGGTGCTCTACTATTGAGCCACACCCCCAGCCCCTCACTGGGGGATTCTAGGCAGATGCTCTACTGTTGAGCCATGTTCTCAGCTCTCTTTTAACTTTTGAGATAGAGACTTGATATATTATCTGGCCTGATCTTGAGCCCTCTCTGTAGCTCAGGAAGGCTTTGAAATTGCAATCCCCCTGCCTCAGCCTCCTCAGTAGCTGGTATGACAGGCCTGTACCATCACACCTGCTTGTGTCTTCTCTATATATAATTATTTAAACTGAATTTACATATAACAAAAAACACATAATGCTTGTTTCAGAGATCTCCTAAATTAATGTGACTTTAAGACAGGGGCATTGCTTTCTTATCACCATTTCTGATCTTTGGGATAATTACACAGTCATATGTAATCCACACGTCAAGTCTTGAATCCTGCAGCTCATTGAAGCTACATGTTTTTCTCTTAAGGATTGAGTATATTGTGTCTTGACTCATCTGCTATAATCTTAGGATGAGTGTTCAAATGAATAGACTCAAAAACATCTCTCTCATTAGACTTAAAAAAATTCTAACTTTGGTATTGTACTGAATAAATGTTCTTCATGAAGATGTAATTTCACCTTTCACTCTTTGAATTCCTCATTCTTACTCCCTCATTCCCCCCGATTATACTGAATGTATCTATCCTGGCAGAACAATGACATTATCAAACTCAACATCTGGTGATAACTGGAAATTTCATCTCTTGCTCCGATGTTGCGGGAACCGATAGCATCGCTAACAGCTCCTGATCACGCTACCCTCTGTAAGGGCTGGGGATTTATTGCCAGGGGAAGTGGCAGGATCTAGAAGCAAAAGGTTAAATGCCATGTTAAGTGCTTGATTAGTGAGAAGAGAAACTCCAGGGTCATGAAAGAGGGAAGCAGAACGGGGCACCTGGGACATCTGCTTTGTTAAGAGTCTGCGGCCTCCGGTTCTTGGTTATTTCATAGTGAGCCCTTTCTACAGTGTGCTTTGATGGAAACACATGGCCAGCTAACACCCAACCACACACTGCCTCAGAACGATATTCAAACTGTGTATTTTGCTTAAGGTTTTTATGTGTGTACTGTTTTTGCTACTTACAGAATTCCCCATGCATCTGTTGTGTGTGTTATATACATACGTGTGTGTGTGTGTGTGTGTGTGTGTGTGTGTGTGTGTGTTGTGTATATACGTGTGTGTCTTTATGTTCTGATGCACCAATATAGGTGCACCTGTGGAATCCAGAGGTTGGCATAGGATGCCTTTCTCCATCACTCTCCATCTTATTTTTTGAAACAGGGTCTCTCACTGAACCTGGATCTAACCACTTCAGCTAGATCGGCTGGCTAGAAAGCCCCAGTGCTGGGATTATGGGCATGTGCCATAGTCCCCAGGCAGGTTTAATGGGCTCCTAGCAAGGCAAACTCAGGCCCTCACCAGCTGAACCATCTCCCCAGCCCTCTGCTTAGAGAATTCTATTTTCCACCTGACATCTGGTTTCTCATACTACAAACACGTCCAGCTGCAGCCACTACCCACATGCGGTTCTCACCTGTAGTGTGTGTAGGGCGTGAGGTTTGGAATTTCCAGCGTCTGGGCGTCAGGCTCGTTCTCTTCCTCATAGAGGGTGACCCACTCCTCCTCATCACCGATGGCCCCGACCTGTGGAAAGAGATCCTGCAATGGACTGGGCTCACCATGGTGACCAAGGCTGTTTGGTATTCTGTATGCATCTACTGGGTATAATAGGCTGAACACAGCCACCGTGTAGCTCACACCTGGGAGCTCCTGGTTCCTACACACATACCCATGGAGATTCAGACTCCTGTTATTCTCAGTGCACATGACATCTGGGAAGGTTTTAGTTCAAAACTCAAGAAGTTGGCCTCAAGAGGGCCAGCTGTGGCTCAGATTCTGGGTGATGGAGAGGATCATCCCCACTGCCTTGTCCTTTTCTCATCTGACAAGTAAGAGAGGCTCAGGAAGGAAGACTCAGGTAGGACCCCACAGTGTGCAGTGATGACGTCCTCCTTGCTAGGGTCCAGAGCCCTTGACACCACTTGCTGGCCCCCGGGCACCACCTGACCTTTCCCTCCCCGAGCATACACCACAGTGGCTGCACTGGCAGGCATAAGGAAGTGCTTGAGTTCCTGCGTGCAGGCCTTGTCTCTTCTGACAAAGGACGCTGGGAGCTGGCGAGATGACTCACCAGTAAAGTGCCTGCTGCACTACATGGGGACTTGAGATCTGATCCCCAGATGTAGGCCTGAGGGCTGTCGAGATGGCTCAGGGGCTAAGAGCACACACTGTACTTGCAGAGGACCTGAGGTGAGTTCCCAGCACCCACATCAGCTCACAAACACCTGCAACTCCAGCTTCAGGGATCTGATGCCCTCTTCTGGCCTCTAAGGGCACTGCACTCAAGTATCCCTATAGACACATACACACATAATGTATTTTTAAGACAGGCATATTGGCACACACTTGTAATTCCTGAGCTTGGGAGGTGGAGACAGACAGAGTCTTGGGGTTCTCTGACCAGTTAACCAAGCTGGATCAATGAGCCCCATGGCTGTCTCAAAAAACAAAACAAAAACCTCCCCCAAAACCAAAATGGACAGTGCTCTGAAAAAAGGACACCTGAGGTTGACTCTGGTCTCTACACACACACACACACACACACACACACACACACACACACACACACACACTCAGATGTGTACACATAGGTGAACACATGTACATGCACACTTATGTGTACACACACACACAAACACATGTGAACATATGAACACATGCATATATACTCAGATGTATACACATACAGGTGAACACATGTACATGCATACTTATATATACACCCCCCCCATACACCCCCAGACACACACAGAAGCACCTCAGGGCAGAGCTGGTCTGAGGAGCACCACTCTTTACAGACACTTGTCCCTTCCAAGCTGGCGTGTGAGGCCGCATTGGGCGTCCCTAGAATTCCCCCAGCATCCCCCTCTCCTTCTGGGAACGACACGTCCATGGCTTGCTTGGTTAGCAATTGTACACTCACACTTCCTGTGACCTCTAACCTGACCCTAGTTGCTTGTTCTGCCTAAGAAAGCCCCCAACCAGCTTCATCAACCAGTTGATGACACCCTGGGCTGTCCCGGACAGAACGCACAGGGGACATGGCTGTGAGCTCCAGCCCGTGGCTCCTGTGAGCAGTCTGTTGACTCGTGCAGTTCATGTGGCTGTGTGACCCTGGGATCACGGTATACAAACAGAGGGTGTGCTGAGAGCGGGTTCAGCCAGGCTCAGTCCTGCCCTGGCATCTAATGCCCCATAAGTGACTTAAATGACAGGGCAGGCCTTGTGCTCATTAAGTTCACAGAGGAAGGCAACTTGGCAGGTGGCCAAGCCACAGAGGAGGGGCGCTGAGGCTTCATGACGACCTTGGTAAGCTGCAGAAATGATGCAAAGGACAAAGGACAAGGAGGGACCAGTAAGCGAAAGCGAGCAGCCTGAGCTGTGGGGAGTCCAAACTAAAGCAGGAAAACAGCTGCAGAAAAGAGCCGGAGTGTCATATGAGACCCAAACGTCCGTTCTAGTCTCCACCCAGCAGAGCTGGAAGACAGAGGCATACACCGTACACTAATGCACACACCTGGATGCACCTGCACACACAGGCAAGAACCTGCACACACCTGTATTCACCTGAATTGAACTGTATGCATTTGTACACACATGTATGTACCTGCACATACCTTGTGTACTTGTATGTGTATGTATGCATCCATACACATGTACACAGTGGCATCTAAATGTATCTGTGGCATCTAAAAGATATCTGAATGTATCTGTACGCATGTAAATACCTTCACACAGCTGTATGCAGCTATACACACCTGAATTCACCTGAATATGACTATATATATGCATACACACATGTATGAACCCACATATACCTGTGTGTACTTGTATATGTATGTATGTATGTATCCACACATGTACACAGTGGCATACACTTGCACACATCTGTATGTACCTGCACACATAGGTAAGTACCTGTATACACCTGAACATTATTGTATGTACGTGTGCACACATGTATATACCCACACACCTGTATGTATTTGTATATGTATATATGTATACACATACATGGCATACACTTATATATACCTGCATGCATCTGCACACATGCACATACCTGCACATGCCTGTACTTACCTGCATACAATTGTGTGAACCTGCACAGTACACACCAGTTCACAGTGCTCTGTGCACCACAGCCCAAGGGTAAAATTGAGGCACATATTCCCAAATGAAGAGGCACAGGGCACTGGCACTGGCATCTGCTTTTATGTGGACAGACTTCAGAAACATTGGGCTGGGTAGAAGCCTGTCCCCAAGTCCACATAGCGTGAGAATCTCCTTTATGAAATGACCGGGGTGGGGGGCCAGATGTTTAATGAGAAGGGGGTGGAGAGGGGGGGAAGCAGGGGTGGGGAGGGAGGGAAGCAGGGGTGGAGAGGGAGGGAAGTTCTTGGAGATGAGTTTCATAAGCTGAGACGCGGTGGAAGCGGAAATATGCTCTAAGTCTTCTACCTTAGGAATGGTCCTCTTTAAAATGGCAAAGTTTGTGTTCTGTGCATTTCATCTCAATTTTTAAAAGAAGCATTAAAACTTAAGGTGGGATGCTGTCCAGGAACACCTGGCAGAGAAAGAGCTGGAGGTCAGAGAGGCTAATGAGCAGCTGGGATTCTGCGACTGAGCAAGGCTGCTGAACTAGGGGGAAGATGTGGCCACCTGCGAGGCTGGAACAGGGAGTGCTCTCAACCACCACAAATCTTGGTGGCTCTGGAAGTCTAGCCTCTATTCCTGCCACCTGGGCTCCACAGAGAGGGGCCACGGCTGTGTCTTTTCCCACCCGGGTCCTCTGTGCTGAGCGAGGGGGCAGCAGATGCACAGTGACTTTAATTGATCCTCTAAGTCCCTGCAGCACAACTGAATGCTCCTGTCTCTGCCTGACTCTGCCCCCCAGCCTGATTTTTGCAAACCCTCCTTGAATGAAGGCTGGTTCTAGACATCCTCTGGGTCTTCCTCTGCCTTGATGTCCAGCATGTTCGACTCAGTCCATCTTCCTTCTAGGTCCAGGCACATCTACGTAGGGCTAGGTGCTTCCCTGACCGTGTGGATGGCTCCAGCACTGGCCTCCCATGTTACCCTATGATAAGATGACTCTTGGCCATATATGCTTCTACAGGGACTGCATGGATCAGGGTGGTGGCTCTGGGACTCAGGTCCATCCATCATGTGACCAAGAGGGTTGGAAGAGCAGTGACAACCTTTGAGCTGCTACTCAGAGGAAAGGGTGAGGCATTGAGCACAAGAGCCTGCTGCTCCATCGACCAAGATCAAGCTTCATGCCACAGGGGCCAAAGCCAGCAGGACAGGGCCATGGGTCCCTACTTACTTCTCCTCTTAAGTCTGACAGTATCTGACTTATGTGGGAGAAGACAAACGTCTTCCCCTTTAGAGTCCCCCATGTTGCCACTGTCCCATAGCTGGCGTCTACAAAATGGAGGGCTGTCTGGTTCATTTCCTGTCTTCCATTCTGCTGAGTTCAATATAGAACTTCCAGGCTACAATCAAGCCAACTGAGATAATGGAATAGGACTAGGGTGTGACCCACACATCCTTGACCTTTCCCATGCCAAGTCCCCTTTGTGCAGGTCTCTGATTTGGAGATGGGACAGTGACTGACAGACTCTCCAGATGGCTCTGCTGTCATATTCCCTAATCACTGTTTGTCATTACCTGAAGGTACCACATGGCCTTGAGCACCTGTGTCCATGCAAAGCTCTTGAATCTGGTTCCAACATGTCTGCTCCTCCTGCCTTCTCTAGGCAACTGCCAGAGCTTCCTTGAACTGCTTCTACTTTCTTGCTCCCTCTTTTGGAAGCCTCCATGAGCAGCCACCTCTGCTTTATTGCTTCTGGAAGCCTCTATAGATAGCCCCCCCATGCTCTGTCTCCCTCTTCTGAAAGCATCCATAGACAGTGTCCAGGGATAGCTCTCCATCTCTGACCAAGCAGATGGTGCTTGATGTCCCCATCCTGTGCACTCAGGCTGCCTTCCGCCTACCTCTGACAGGGTCAGGACATGATCCTCAAGAGTAACTCATACAAATAGTATGTGTGTCAAAACTCATTTTGCTTATCAAAAAGGGACCCAGCAGGATGGTAAAATGGGTTTGGAGGAGAATATGACTCAAAATCTGAGCGTCAGTAGGAGAAAGAATGTCCAGGCTGGACAGATGGCTCAGTCAGTAAAGTGTATGCCACACAAGTATGAGGACCTCAGTTCGATCCTTGGGAACCCATGTAAAAGAGCCAGAAGCTAGGAATGGCATGTTCCTGTAATCTCAGAGCCAGGGAGGGGGAGGCATGAGGATCCTTGCTGTCTAGCCAGCTTGGTCTAATCGGTAAGTTCCAGGTTCAGTGAGAGTCTGTCTCAAAAAATAAGGTGGAAAGTTGACCTCTGGCTTCAATATGCATATTCATAAAACACCCCCAAATACAAACTAATACAGTAAAGAAGACAAAGATGTTAGAAAGCTGGTTACAGGAGCAACATAACCGTAACCTGTAGCTTAGCAACTTCACAAT